TAGGAAATGCAAGTGGAGATATCCAAGAGGCACTTGGAGCTGCCAGAGCTATAAATTCGGAAGCTGTTTGGTTAGAGTTGATAGTTGTAGCCCAGGGAGCAAACAAGATGGAAGGAGAAAAAAATACAGAGCAAGAAGAGAAGGAGGTTGCAAACCGAACTCTGGAAGATACCAATATTTAGTAGCAGATTGGGGGAGAATGATGAGAAAGAGACAGAGGAGTGGTCAGATGGATAGGAGGAGAACTGGGATGAAGCCCAGAGAGGAACATTTTCTAAGAAGGAAAGGAGAGTTTGCAGAATCAAATGCTACAAAAAAGGGTCAAAGAATGAAGACAGAGAAAAACTCATGGAATTATCATTTAGGACAGCAGTTGGAATGCTCTTCTCTCTCATCAATAACCACTGGATTTTTTTTTAAAGTCCCAACTAAAATCCCACCTCCTACAGGAAGCCTTTCTCAGCCCATGTTAATCTCAATGCCTTACCTCTCTCTTCATTGTTTCCTATTTATTGTGTTTGTAACTTGTTTGCCTATATTTGTTTGTCTTGTCTAGACTATTAGATTGTGAGCTCCCTGAGTGCAGGGATGGTCTTTTGCCTCTTTTTGTATCTGTAGCCACTTAGTACAGTGCCTAGTAGTAGTAGGCACTTAATAAATATTTATTGACTGACTGAGTTCTGGTTTAGCAGAAAAAGCACTGGATTATTCCTTGTGTGACCTAGGATAAATCAGCTAAATTTTTTGGGCCTTAGCTGTAAAAATGAAGAGTTAGACTAGATAATTCCCAAGGATCTTTTCAGTTCCAAATAAATAAACCTTTCATTGTCAAGAGAGTAGTGGATGCAGAAACCAATTTTTAAGAAGTTGATTGGGTGGTAAGTAAGGAAATTGAAGCAGCAAGTGTAGACTACTTTTTCAGGAAGTATGGGAGCGAGAGAAAGGAAGGGAATGCTGGATAAGAGTATATGGAAGTTTTTTTTCTTTCAAAAAAAGTTGTTTTTTCAGTTAATAAAAATCTACTTTCTTTCCCTCCTCCTCCTCCTCCTCCTCCTCCTCCTCACTCCCCTATGAGGAGGATGGAGTCAGGAAGAGCAGCTCTCCTGACTGGTGACTGATTCTTTTGGGCCACTATTTCAGAAAAAAACCCAGGACGTGCTTCCTTTCATTCCATTTGGCTATCTGGTGACCACCTCCTCTATGTCCTTACCAGACTGCCTCTCCAACCTCCCCCCTCCCCTCCCCTCATTCCCCATTCTCTAAATTTATTTTAGACCAAAATGCCCAGGCTCCCACTTCCTTTGTGTTTAGTCTTTCCTATTACAATGTAAGGAGTAGGTGAAGCAGTGGATAGAGCACCAGGAATGGAGTCAGGAAGACTCTTCTTGAGTTCAAATCTGGCCTCAGACACTTGCTAGCTGTGTGACCCTGGGCAAGTCACTTAACCCTGTTTGTCTTAGTTTCCTCATCTTTAAAGTGAGGTGGAGAAGGAAATGGCAAACCACTCCAGCATCTTTGCCAAGAAAACCCCAAATGGGGTCATATCGAGTCAGATATGACTGAAAAACAAATGAACAATATTTGAATTTTTTTGAATGTTTAGGGATGGTTTTTGTTTTTTTATTTATGTCTTTAGCTTAACACAGACCTTGACCTCTAGCAAACAGTTAAGGTTCATTAAAAAAAGAAAAAAACCCACTCTTTTAACAAATATTCCTCATTGACTATATCCAGAAAATTTGTCTCATTTTACACTCTAAGTCTAAATTGTATTTTATTTTATTTAGGATGGAAGACATCTGGTAGAACAATAGAGCCTGTTTCAAAGTCAGGAAGGCCTGAAGTCAATCAAGGTCAGCCTCTCCATTAATAAACATTTATTAATCTTCTACTATGTGCTAGGCACTGCACACTGGGGATATAAAAAGAGATAAAAGACAATTGCTGCCCTCCAGTAGCTCTCGATATATACGGAGCAAGCTATAGACAAGAAAAATGAGAAGTACTAGATTTAAGAGGGATTGAAAAAGACTTTCAATAAAAGAAAGGATTTTAGATGGGATTTACCTAGTGGATGTGAGACTTTGGGCAAATTACAATTGTAGATCTATTTTGGTCAAGGGACTTTCCTGTACTGATAAAATCATAAGTCTGGACAGAAAGAAAAGGTGACTTTTGAAGGAGCTTCTTCTGGGTGGCCTCTATTGACCTCTACATTTTTCCATAAAGAATTAAAGTTTTATCTACAGGTGGAGGAGGCAGGGCTACAATCGGGAATTTGAAAAGAATAGAAGAGATTCCTATCAGCCCTTAAGATAAAGAGTCCCGAGCTTTGTGGGCCCAGCTGAGGTCAGACAGCGTGAATCTCTAGTGGACCCAGTCTGGCCACAAGTTTCCTAGCATTCCTGGTCAATGCTTAGATGCCTACCAGCAGGAACAGAGAAGGTAAATACTGAGTTTTACAAGGGAATTTGGGCATTAATGAAGTGGGTGAGGTAGAGGGCAAGAGGCTAAGTCATTTTAGGATCTTAGCAAAAACAGGGGAAATTGGCTGAGGAATCCGTCTAGGTTGCCTCGGGGGGCAAATGAAGAAGGTTTGAGAAAGGAGTAAGAGCGACCACAATGAGGGCAAAAATCTGATGGGGGGTGGGAGAGGTAGGACAGGGAGAGAGCAAGCAAAAGGTGGGATTTTGTAAGTAGTAAGTGTAGTGAGTAAGAAGTAGAAGTGAAATAATTCTAAATGACGAAAAAGTTCAAGGAGTGTTCAGGAATACTTATGGGTGGCTTCTGCAGAGCACTGAATTATGTTTATTACATTCTGTTTAAGGAAGGCATTAAAAGATAATCTTTCAAAGTTTATTGTTGTACCAACACTTTTTAAATATACGTTGAAGACTGTTTACATTAGGAAGTAATTTTGACAGATTAGTAACTATAGCTGCTTATTGTAGATAAAGAGCTGGACTGTGGTTCCTGACTTGAAATCAGGAAAATCTTGAGTTCAAATCCTGCCTCAGACACGTACTGACCCTGGATTATAAACTTTCAGCCTCAGTTTCCTAATCTGTAAAATAGGGATAATAATTGCACCTTCCTCAAAGGGTTGTTGTAAGCCTCTAGTGAGATAATGTATACAGTGCCTATTAGATAGGGAAGGAGAGCAAACATTTAAACAATTCCTACTACATGCCAGGCATTGTACTAAGCTCCTTGCAGATATCTTATCTGAGATACCTGTGAGGTAGGTGCTGTTATTATCTCCATTTTACAGTTGAGGCAAGGTAGGCAGACAGGTTAAGGGACTTGCCCAGCATCACAAAGGAATAAATGTTTCTGAGGCTGGATTTGAACTCAGGTCTTCTGACTTTAGGCAGTGCTATATCCACTTTGACCCAACTAGCTGCCTAGATGGGAGATGGGGGGCTGGACCTATAATTTCATTGGTAGAGGGAACTTCGAGGTGAGGAAACACCCTCTACCAAAGCCAGGCAGCACCCTCTCTGCAATTTATAATCTTAAGAGAACTGTGTAGGGGCTGTGACTTGCCCATGGTCACACAGTCAGTACTTGAACCCAGGTCTTCTTAGTGCATAGGCTAGCCCTTTTCCCACTATCCAACACTGCCTTTCATAATACTATAAGTCAATAATTATTGTTATTATCACTCCTGTCTTTTTTCTTTTCTTTTTTTTTTTAAATATGGGAGGCTTTCAGGGTTAAGTGAATTGCCCAGGTTACACAGCTAGTAAGTGTCTGAGGCTACATTTGAACTCAGGTCCTCCTGACTTCAGGGCTGGTGCTCTTATCTATTGCACCCCCTAGCTGCCCTCCTGTGTCTTTCCAAATTATCTCTGTCCATTCCTGTGTTCACGTGTAAGTTTTTTCCCTCCTTTTTTGTAAAGGTTTCATATATACTCATAGAATGTTAAAGCTGGAAAGAACCTTGGAGATTATCTAGTGAAACCCTCTCATTTTACCAATGAAGAAACTAAGTCTCAGATTTACTCAAAATGATTTGTTCGTGTTGACAGTTTGTAAGCAGAAGAGCCAAGATTCAAATCTAAGCTCTCTGACTCCAATTCTAGTGCTTCTGCCCAGGGACATTTTCATCAGAAATGGCAAAAAAAAAAAAAGTCTTCTGCCTAGAGGGAGAAACTTTAGCTATCTAGAAAACTCTTTAAGTGTAAAAGGTAAAAAAAAAATAAAAATAAAAAAAATAAAAGAGGAAGGTTCAGAGATCAGGCATGGTATCCAGGGCAGAGTTTGGTCCTGATAATTCTGGCAAGTTTAGCTCTGGGTTCATGTGATGAAGAAATTTTACAAGCTGGAAAGGAAGCCTCTCTGCCAGTCACGGGTTGAGCTGGGGGGTTGATTGCACCCCCACAGCTAAGCCCAACCCTACTCCTTAGGAGTCAAGCAACTCCAGTCCCAGGCTTTTCTGCTTATTCCTGGCATCTGAAGGACAGGACAAGAATCTGCCTCCCTTACCCAAAAACAAATGCTTTCCAGATGTGTAAGCAGCTGTTGCTGGGGAGCAGAGAGGAACATGGTCCTAAGCCAGGTCCCTGGGACCTAGGGGTTGTGGAACTACAGCCAGATGGTGGGTTTTGCAGAATAGCATACATAGCCAGGAATGAAGGAACCCAACGAACAAAGAACTCTGCATGTTTCCACTGAGGGTCCTGCTAATTCCCCTGTTTCTCCACTACTCTGCACTCTAGGCCTGCTGGTAGCTGGGCTGGGCAGGAATGCCTTTCTCTGGTGGGTCACCTAGTGCCACCCAGGATCCCTACTGCTGCTGGCAGGGACATGAATTTCTTCTCTGCACCATCAGATTATAGGTATATTTTCTTGTGGTTGCTTTTCTGGTTTTGCCCTGGTAGGCATGGAAAGGGTTAACTCAGAGGACCTTCGTAAGGTCAGGTTACTTCCCCTTAAAAATATGGAGAAGTTTCCTATTGAGATGGGCTGGGGGATAGGAGGAGTCTAGTGAGTGTGGGTGTCAGCTGCTCCTTTGCAGGGGAGAGCTGGGTCTTGGCCTGGCTCAGAAGACCTAAGAGTGAGTTCAGGGGGGAGGACAAGGTGCTGGGACCACAGCAGCAACAACAGCTGGAAGAGAGAAGGAACATGGATGTGGACAACCACAGCTGGAGACGAGAAGGTGAGCAGGAGCCTTTGGTTTGGGATTGCTTTATTTGGACATGTTCCCAAGGAATGCCCCCCCTCTTTGGGGTCCTGGCTCCTCCTCCCTCTGCCTGGTGCCCTGGCCCCTTTAGAAAAAGCCTCCTGGTGTCTGGGGGTGCTGGCAAGCAGGCTGGAGCAAGAAATCACTGTAGACTGACTCTAGGATGGTTGAGTAGGAGCATTTTGCAAGAGTTGAGCAAGGAAAAAGAGAATCAGAGATGCCATTTGCCAGAGGAGGAAACTAAGTCCCTGAAAGGCTAAATTACTTGCCTGAAATCTATCTAGTCAATTAGAAACAGAGCCAGGACTAGCACTCAGGGTATAATGGCCAGAGCCCTGGATTTGGAGTTGGCGAACTTGGATTCAGATCTGTATCACTGGCTGAGCCTTAACCTCTCTGTATCTCAGTTTTCTCACCTGTAAAATGAAGAGGCTGGAAAAGATGACCTTAAGAGTTTTTTCCAGCTCTAAGTTTATTTACACTGTACACCGCACCTCTTTCCTAGGGATAAAATGGAAGTATATGTGTGTGCGTGTGCGTGTGTGTGTGTGTGTGTGTGTGTGTGTGTGTGTGTGTGTGTGCGTGTGTGTAATATGGGACTGGGACTACAATGGGGTTTCTGTAAGTTTATAGGGACAGGGAAGGACTTGAGGAATGAGGGCTGGTATAGGGTAGAGGATAAAGCTTAATTTAGGTGGGAGCTGGAGATTAGGACATATAAATGTCAGTAGCAAAAACAGGAGTAGGGTCAGCCTAAGAGTGTGATTTGAGGAGTAGTATAAAGGGAAGGTGGAAAGAAGGAAGGCCTCAAAGACAGTCTTGGAAACTTGGACTCCGGCCAGTCCCAGTTGGAAACTGACCCCATTGCAAGTAGTTGTCATTACATTTACCCAGAGGTTTCTGTTCTGGGTGGTATCTCTCTCTACTGTAGTTAGATTCAATTCAGCTTCCATTTAAGTGTTTGCCATATACAGGGAGCCGGATTATTCTATCCCCACAGAACTATAAAGACCTGACCAAGGATATTAACCAGCTGCTAGTGTTTCCTCCAGCCTCTTGCTGCACCCCTTTAATAAACTAGTCCATTGCTGTAGTTACCTTATCAGAAGCACCAAGGTCCTTGCCTTTCCCCCCCAATCTACCCCTGAAGTTCAGCTGCACGAATCTTCTTTATCGTTCTAATGCTCATTGCAGATCGAGAGATGAAAAAAAAAATCTTTGGCTCAGGGAAGCTGGGTTGTAGGTCCCTGGCAACATAAGGGGTTAAGGCCGACCAGGACATAATAAAAATAATAACTATAGCATTTACATAGTGCCTATGTGCTAGGTGTTTTACAAATGTTATCCATGGATCCTCACAATATCCCTGGGAGGTGGGTGCTAGTATGATCCCCATTTTACAGTTGAGGAAACCGAGGGAAAAAGAGGTTAAGTGATTTGCCCAAGGACACACAGCCAATAAATGTCAGGCCACACTTGAATTCAGGTCTTCCTCAATCCAGGCCCAGTGTTCCATCCTCTGCCCCACAGATCTACTCTTAGCATGGGAGTTGCAACGAGGACCACTTTTTAGTGAGAACTGCTCATTTATTAAGCACTGTCCTAGGTGCTGAGGATACAAAAACAAAACAGCCCCTTTCCTCCAGAAGTTTGCATTTCAATGAGTGGCAACAGGTGCCTAGATACACAAATCCGTAAAAAAGGCACTTGGGAGGCACAGATTCTAATTCCCTAGAGAATTAGGAAAAGCCGCCCTTGTAGGAAGTGCCATGTTCAAGGGGGGCTTCCGATTGAAAAAAGGGTTCTAAGAGGCACAGATAAGGAAGAATGTTCCTGGCATAGGCGATTTATTTTTTATACCAAGAAGTTCTGTCCTATGTGGTACATAGATGTTGATGAATTAAGTCGATTCTTGGTCCAGACTTGGAATCTATATCAGTGGAAAGGAATCTTTACTTTAGGAGTTCACTATGCAGTTGAAATAATAAGTTCAGGCCTTAATTTAAAAAAAAAAGTCAATATTTTAGTGAAGGCTCAGAGAATTGGTAGGTATGGTGGGATGCAGGGAACAATTTTCATTTAAATATTTTATTTTTTTCTTAATTACATGTAAATAAGTTTTTATGGTTTTTTTTAAAATTTTGAGTTCCAAATTCTCTCCCTCCTTCCCTTCCTCCCTCCCCTTCCCCTTCCTTGAGAAGGCAAGCAATTTGATATAGATTATACGCATGCAATCATGCAAAACATTTCCACAAGAACAATTTTCAAACCTTGTCTGGGGCACCTGGTCACTGCCTAGCTCTTTTCTGTCTACTGAGGGGAGGACCTTTTGACAGTTCCTGGGAGTTCTTGGGATCAGCAATAGAACTGGGTCCATAAAACCTTCCTCCTCCCTAGCTCCACCCCACCCCCACCCCCAATCATCTGACCTTCATCCTATTCAATTGTGGTGGAGCGGGCTGGATGCTGGCTCTCTGATGAGGGACACTCGGTTCTCACAGTATAAACATGTTTTTCTGAAGCTCCCATAGGAAGTGCCCTGCTGGGCTGGCCCAGGGCCTCATCCTGACTCAGACTTTGGAGCAGAATGTAGAGAAACCATAACTGAGCTGCTTCCCATTCCCAGGTCAGCTGTCTCTCTACCCCTCAGGTAGCCACACCCATCTGCAAGAACTTGAGGTCTGATGGTAAATCTGGTGCTCCATACCTGGGTTTATCAAACTCTGCCCTCATCAACTTCTACCTAATCAGCATCACTTCTGCTGGCCAGGCCTCTAGAAGACATATGCCCAGAGCCCAAAAGATAGTCCATTTAGACCTGATTCTTGGGGGAAAGACTAGAGCCATTTGAAGGCAGAGTAATGGGTAGAGTAGGGGATTTGGAGCCTGAAAGATCTGAGTTTTAAGTCTTGCTTTAGGCACTTAGTAACTGTGTGACCCTGGGCAAGTCAGTAATTCTTCCTCAGCCTCTGTTTCCTCATCTGTAAAATGAAAGAGTTGGGCTTGATAGAACCCAAAGTCTCTTGCAGCTCTAATTCTCCGAGCTTATGACTCATATTTGGGTTTTATAGACATCAGGCACCCTAGGAATCTAAGGACATGAGTAGGAAGCTTTGCTGAGTCACATTAATGGATGTATGACGGTGTACAGAGCACCGACTGAGCTTGGGTTGGGGGTCTAGATACTAGAACCGTAGGCTGAGCTCTAACATTTCTTGCCTATGTGACCTACGTGACCTTGTCCAATTCTAAGGCCAATGTGTTAGTTTAGGGGTATAGCAGAAAGAGTACTGGGCTTCAAGTCAGAAGGGGTTTGAATTCTTTCCCTGACATTTAGTAGTTGTATGACCTTGGGCAAGTCATTTGCCCAGGCTCTTTAAGCCTCTTTGTTCACCTACAGAAGAGAAACTAATAATACCTGTAGCATCCACCTCACAGGGTCGTTTTGAGGGCCAAATGAGATGATGTGTTTCAAGCATCTTATCAATGTGAGTTGTTATTATTTCCGTGTTTTATTACCGACCTCTTTACTCTACCTACTGGTATTTTGGTGGCAAAAGGAGATCTGATCAGCAACAACTTGGAAACCTTTGGAGAGTAAAGATTGCCGTGGTTGGATGGCTAGAGTACACTGCTGAAAATAATGTTACTGGTAGTTATGGACGTCATCCTGCTTTACGCATCAGCCCACCTTTGGATGTTTCTTGCCTTTTTTTTCCCCCCTCAAATTTGACAGTTCTGTGGACGGTAACCTGTCCTCTGTTCTCTGTCCTGTTGACACTGCATCTTCCTGGATCTTCCTCCAGCATGGCAGCTTAGACAGCTATGCTGGTGTCAGGGTCACATTAGGGCCCAAACTTTGGTTCTCTGGTTGCACTGATGCAGAGATTCCCCTGGGAAGTAAAAGTTCCTAGCTTCCATAGGCAATGAGTCATTCCCCTCCTCCTTGACCTTGGACAAGACATTGGCCACTGCCCCCAAGAAGCAGAAGGAAAACCCTGTGCAGAGGCAAAAGAGCAAAAGGACTCAGACCCACGGCTAGGAGAGCCCAACTCCATGGAATTCCATTGGGAGGTTTTTGTTAAACTGCAGAGGTGAGGGCATTCAGGTTACCCCACTGGAGGGCAGAGTCTGAGGCATGCTATTTCCACCCCAAATCATGGAAGAACTCCCCTCCGTCATCTCCCAACCCTTTGAGGCAACCTTTTTGCCACTGGCAAGTGACCTTCTCTACCAGATCACTGAGATCTTACTTTTTCCTGGCTTTTCTGCTGTTCAGACGACAATGAGGATGTCCTGAGAAGTCCTACTCCTAGACTTCAGCCACTGAGTTTCAGAGAGTACCCCAGTCAGCATGGCTTTGGGACGTGGGTGGAACTGAATTCAGAAGCAAAACCCTAGACAAAAGTCCTGAGATTATTTAGAGTTACCAGGGGCAGTGCTGACTGGCAGCTCAAATGCCACCCAAAGGTGTGTAGGTCTGACAGCTAAAATTCTTCCCCCCCCCCCAACTCAACTCCTGGAAGTCTGTGTGAGGGCAAGTGCAGACAAATCCTAATGTCAAATGAGGAAACTGGCCCTGTCTCTCCTGTTTATTTTCCTTACTGACTTTTGCACATGTCTGATTGGCTCCTAATTTGAGGAAGGCTATATGCTCTTCAAGATGGAGGGCTCATTGACATATTCTTGTTCAAACACCTTATTTTTACAAGTGAGGGCCAAAGAGTTCTTGTAACTCAGCGAGTTAGAGGAGGAACTGGGTCTTCCAAATCCTACTGTGTGGGATGCCACTCAAATTAAAAAACACACAGAGGTATCCAAGGAGAAACAGAAAGTTAATTTATTATTATTATATCAAACCTCGAGATTTGGGTGTCCCTCCACCAGAATACTCTGATGAAAGGAGACACAGACAGAAGCAAAGGACCTGATTATATACCCTAGTGGGCAAATTCCCCCCCTCCCACCAACTGGCC